ACCGCGGGACACTGCGGGTCACCGCCAGACGGGCGGGAAAGGGAGAATCATTTGTCTTGACTTCACCCTAGCAGCGGCGGGATTATTCCTCTCGCGCGCCCACGCAGCTTCGCCTCGCCCGCACGCACGACACGAACGAAACGAAACGATTTCCCGGTTGGGGGTCTCCGTTTCACTGCGATCTCACCCTCCTACCTCCGATCCCCCCTCCCCTGAAATTGTCCCGAAGATCTCCTGCCCCCTCCGCGTGACGTTCTTACATGCAATATATCAGGAATTGGTTTTCTTATGGTCTGTTGCAATCCGACTAAACTGGGTGTTTCGCAATGGTGCTCCCGCTGCAGCGTGGGCCTCATTTTCCGATCGGCGCTTTGCTCCCGAATGACGCTCGAGGAGGAGGAGGACGTGGAGGAGGAGGGAGAGGAAAAGGAGGGGGAGGACGTGGAGGAGGAGAAGAACGTGGAGCAGGAGGAGGAGGAGGGCGAGGAGGACGTGGAGCAGAGAGAGGAAAAGGAGGGGGGGAAGACGTGGAGGATGAGGAGGAGGAGGAGGAAGGGGGCCGGATTCTCAAGCGCCTCCTCCTCCTCCTCCTCCTCCTCCTCCCTCCTCCCCGTTCTCCTCCTCCTCCTCCTCCTCCTCCTCCCCCTCCTCCTCCTCTCCCGCTCCCTCCCTTTCCCCCTCCCGTCCGTCACCCTCCTCCCCCCCATACCCCCCTTCCACCTCGTCCTATTCTCCTGCATTCCCCGCCCCTTCGCTCCCCCCACTTCCCTCCCCCCCCTTCCCTCCCGTCCATCCCTCAATTCCTTCCCCTCTCATTCCCTCCATCCCTCTTGTGAGTTTCTCTACCATCACCACGTCATCATTTTTCATTCACCTCTCCCACTCCCTTCTGAGAAATACTGGCAAAATTCCGAAAGCAGTGGGGTGAGACGGGTATCCAAAAGGCGGCCATTGGGAAACCTCCGTTAAGACCGAACCCCAGCGCTTGGAAACGAGGCCGAAGCACAGGAGAGATACAGCCACCACACGCCATACTGAAGCAACACAAGGATGCAAAACCATTTGGCGTCCCTGGAAACACACGGGTGAATCGTGACATTGGCAAAGCCTGATCTGAAAAAGACAAGGATGCAAATTATATTTTGAATTATGAAATTCGAGGCCGGCTAGAATGGGAGACCCTCGATTTTGGCAAGGCAAGGAAGCATGAACGTACGCGTATGGCATGATAGCGCGAGAGTAGAACAAGGACTGATCGAAAGTTCGTACTCCACACTTGCGCGAAACCCAAGTGCAACAAATGTGCAACGTGGAAGTACGGACTCGAATCAATTGTAAAACACATGCGAAACGAGTACGAGCGCACATCCAACGCGTGAAAACGTGTAAAACAAAGTGAGACAAAAGTACGAAGTGTGTACCACGTATGACACAAGTATGCCTCTCACACACACACTTTCCTCACACTTCGGATTTCTGAACTTCTGTACTTCGATTCTGCTCGGCACATTTCTCGCACCCGTACTTCGGACTGGTATTTGTTCCACTGCAAGTGGGATGCGTTGCGTTCCTCTGGGGGGTGTCCGGTGCAGCTGGCCAGCATCTGTCAACAGTGGGAGACAAGCCACACATATAAGACCGACCAACGGCCGATCAAGACGTTTGGGAATGGAGCACTCGGCGGGACAACCATCGGGACAACCGTCTCCATACGTCGAGCAGGCTCCATCAATCTCACTATCAACTGGCCTCATTGCATATCTACCGGTCTCAATATCAATGTGTGTGTGTCGATCTGTCGATCTGTCTCCATACCACTACCACTGTCGATCTCACTATCTATACATCTATCTCACGATCTGACCTATCGACCTCTCTCTATCTACATATATATATATATAAATGTACATCTATATGCACATACAGATCTCAATAATAATGGATCGGCCTCACTATCTATACATTGATCTCAGTCAATATCGATATCACTATGAACCTCTCGGTCAACCTGACAATATCTTCATCGATCTCTCCATTTACCTCTCGGTCTCACCCTCTACCCATCGGGACAATCATCGGGACAACGAGCGCATGTGTCAGTCGCATGCCGGCAGAGTTCTCGAGGCGCCGAAGGCGTCGAGCACTTGTTTTCTTGTTTGGCGAGATCCATCAAAACAACCATCGGGACAACCGTCTGGATAAGCCTCGAGACAACAATCCGGAAAACAGTCGGGGCGACCGTCGTGGCAACCGCGGGACAACCATCGTGACAACCGTCAGGACAACCAGCGGGGTACCAATCGGGACGTCATTGGGGACATCCATCGGGACAACCGTCAGGACAATCATCGGGATCACCACAAAACAACCGCGGGATAACCACGGGACAACCGCGGGACAACCACGGGACAAGTGCGCGGCAACCGCGGGCCACAGACCGCCACCGGAGGGGAGGAGAGACCTTTTGCTCCGACGTCGCCCTGAAAACTCGGAGGTCCACGCGGATTTCTCGGATCGGCGCTGGATCCCGCTCCCTGGCGCACGGAGCGCGCCAGGGGCGGCGCCGGGGGCGCCGCCAAGGGGGTCCAGCGCCGATCCGTGAAATCCGCGCGGACCTCCGAGTTTTTATGTTTGTGTTATTGTTCGTTCCCCTAGTCTCCACTTCACTTTGATCTCACCCCCCAACCCCCGATGCCATCCTTAACATGGAACATGAAACTGCAGAGGAGAGAGGAGGAGGAGGAAGAGGAGGAGGATGAAGAGGATGATGATGATGAGGATGAGGCGGAGGAGGATGAGGAAAAGGACCAAGAGCAAGAGAAGGATGAGGATGAGGATGAGGATGAGGATGAGGAGGAGGAGGAGGAGGAGGACGAGGAGAGGGAGGAGGACGAGAAGGAGGAGAAGGAGGAGGAGGAGCAGGAGGTGGGGGAGGAGGAGGAGGAGAAGGAGGAGGAGGAGGAGGAAGAGGAGGAGGAGGAGGAGGAGGAGGAGGAGGAGGAGGAGGAAGAGGAGGACCAGGAGGAGGAGGAGGGGGAGGAGGAGGAAAAGGAGGGAGGGACGGATGAGGGCGAGGGGCGTGCACCCGCCATCTGCGCTTCCAGGCCACCTCCTCAGCAACCTCGGGGAAGCCCAGGCTGGGCCAATACGTTGCCAGGCGAGGGACACGATAAACAGGCGCTTACTCTAGACTGGTGCTCTACAGTGGAGGGACGGCCATGGATTTCTGGTGTGGGAACGTCACGCCCTCCACGGCCAAACCATCGAGACCCAAGAAAACCAGGGCACCCTGGAGGCAAGCAGGGTGTTTCATGGCATGGGCCTCCACTGTACTTGGCTACTCTACACGAGTTGAAGGGAGGGGGCGGACGCTGACAGCGACGACGAATCCTCGGAACCTCGGCTTGATCGGCCCTCCAAACAGCACGAACACGAGCGAGACGGACGACTCGTGCCCCCAGCCGGGCCACGGCGCAGCGCAAAGGAGGGCGCTGCGACGCTGCGGGCCCCTTGCCTCGCGCCGGCCGTCTCCCCTGGCTCGCCGAGCCCAGGGGCGCTGACCTCGGCTCCAAAGCACCACTGACAACACCACGGCGTTGCGCCGTGCACCCCTCGTCACCTTTCCGGTTCCTCACGCACACAGACTGACTGACTGACTGATTGAAGCCTTGCGCCTAGAAGACGCGTGGCAAAAGGTTGCGCGTATGGCAACCAGCGGTGAGAACAATGTACTCAATCATACGACAGAGTCAGTCAGTCAGTCAGACAGACATCAGTCATTCACGCACAGGAAGAAGTGCTGGGTCACGCCAAAAACTTGTCCAGCACATTCATATCTGGCCAGTCGACAGGCCAAGTCCTCCTCCAATTGAACATGTGCCTCGCGTATGGGCGCCTTGCCGGCAGGCAAGACTGCAAATCGACTGAAGAGATTCGCTCACTGTCCTGCGTGTCACTTGAAGCCGCCCGGATCATGCACCATCCGATCTTCATGTCGGAGCCGAAAACGGCTGCCGCGACCCGCGCCAGGAAACAGACGCCAGCACCACGGACACGCCCACCATTTGTCCGTCGGCACGGCGTCAGGCCCGTTCGCCAGGCCAGGGCCTCCGAATCGCCGAAGTAGTACCACGAGATCCGTCTCTCAATCTCGGGCACAGGTCTACATCCTGAGCTCGCTCGGGGAGTCCGCGACGACAGCAGGTTCGTCGCGATCGAAGCCGCGGCGCCATCCGCGGTGGCGCGACCTGCGCCTGCACCGAGGAGGAAGGCCTGACCCCGAGAGTCGAGGCCACGCGGGATGGGTCGGGAGACGGCAGCTTGCGCGGGACGCTCGGTGTGGCTCCGGGCACGCTGCTGAGCCCGCCGCCTATAACGACGAGGAGCAGGTGGGGGGGGGGACTAGCAAGCACTCCGAGTTTCTTAATAAGCGTCGGGGGGGCGCCACCCCCGCCGACAGTCCCACATCGACTCCCGTCGCGGGCGGCCACCGCGCGCCGGAGGCGCTCCGACCCCCCGTCGCGGCGCGACGACGAGGCGAGTTTGACCGCCGTCGGGGGGTACCCCCCACGCTTATTAAGAAACCCTAATGGCCTATACCGATGCTCCACGGACCTCTCCGGGGGTCCGCTCGGAACACGGGAGAGAGGCGAATCCAGCCGTGGCGACGAGGGAACGGCAGCGGCATCGGCGGCATCGGTATCTGCTCTACCTCTGAGCAGGGCCCCGATCGACAGAAGGCGCTGGCGGACAACAACGTGGACGATGTCGTCGTCTACCTCGTCGTCGTCGTCGTCGTCGTCGTCGTCGCAGGTCGCAGGATGCAGGTTTCAGATGGCAGGTCGCAGGTGGTCGTCGTCGTCGCAGCTCGTCGTCGTCGTCGTCGTCGTCGTCGTCGTCGTCGCAGGTCGGCGCAGGTCGTCCCAGCCGCCGCCGCCGGCGGCGCCGACATCGGCGGCACCGACAGCGGCGGCGTCGGCGGCCGCCGCGGCGGTGGGGGCCTGCCGCTGCATCCAATTCTGGCGGCCGCCCACCAGCGGCACTCGCAGGGCCTGCGCGCCCTGCCTGGCAGGGGCGCGGGGGGGAGTTTGTTTTGTTTGCTTGCTTGTGTGTGTGTGTGTGCGTGTTTGTGTGTGTGTGGTGTGTGGTGTGTGTGTGTGTGTGGTGTGTGCGTGTGTGTGGTGTGTGGTGTGTGTGGTGTGTGTGTGTTTTCCGACGCGCGCGCGCTGAGCGGTCGTGGTGCCGCGCGGCGGAGCCCAGCCTCGAGAGGCGGTGCCCGGCTCAAGCGAATGCACCCAAGTGGGTGGGAGGGGGGCCCGCCACACACGGCCCGCACAGGGGAGTGCAGGACTGCGCGCGTGACGGGCAGTTGCCTCCGCGAGCGCCATTGGCAGCACGCCGCATGACGGGGCGGTGCCACCATGGGCCATGGGCCCAGGCAGTGCGACTCGCCCCCCTCGCGGCAGTGTGAAAAGTTGCTGGCCTGACGGCGGGAGGGCAGAGCGCCACAAGGGACAACGGCTAAAACGAAGGGTTAGCCATCGGTAACCACGCGATGCACGCCACATGAGAGCGCACAGCGTTCAACATCGCCTCGCATCCCGACGGGGCTCCGTGGATCACCGCCTGAATACAGCGCGGGGGGGGGGGCATGCAAGCACCCTACCAGGAACCACCTGACGCCCATCGGCCCTGGGCCGTCTTCGGCGGTCATCGGACGGCCCTCGGCGGTTTTCGGATGCCTTCAGCGGTTCTTCGGCGGCTTCCCGCGCGAAAGCTGCACGGATGGGCTCAACAGGCGGCTCACGACCGCACACCCCGCAGGACCGCTCGGCACAAGATCGGAGAATCGGATCGGATCGCGATGTGCGCCGGATCGGGCAGTAGCCGCAGGGAGTTCAAGTCGAACCTGCTCGGCCCCGTGGCCTGCCGGCCGAGCCGCGGCGCGCCCCCCCGAGCCGAGGCGCGCCTCTCGAAGTCCGTGAGGCGCGCGTTCAGCGTCCCAAGCTGCGCCTCGCTCGGGATGGGCAACCTCTGGGCGGGCGGGCCACGATCGGGGTGGCGTAAGACTCGGGTTCGGGGGACGCGGGTTGGCCTGGCGGAGCCGCCAGGAGAACGACGAGACCCACCACCCTGAAATTCGACGCGAGCTCCCGCCGCAGACATGCCTAGGCGGCGGGCGAGGGGGGGAAATGAGAAGGAGAAGGCCTTCTCAGAAGGCGGCGGGACTTCTCAGAATCCCTCGCGCCTTCTCAAAAGTTTTTCTTGTTTTCCGGGAAGGCTTAGGAAACCTCTCAGAAGGCCGGGGGACTTCCGAGACTTCTGAGAAGGCCCGCCGCTTCTCACTTCCCCCGCTCGCTCGCCGCCGAGTCCAAATCCAGGGCGGGCTCGTCAAAAAGTGTCGGCGAACCCGAATTCGGACGAGCCCCTCTGGCAGCCGCCGACCTCTCCCTCTCCTACCCTGTCGTTTGGCCCGACGACTGTTGCGCCCCGAGGGCTGAGCAACGGGGGCGGGGCCTGACCGAAAGCCCCCGCAGTGGACGGCAGGATCGGTGAGCGACCCGTCCGACTTCCCGATCCGATGCTGACGGACCAGCGGTCAGCAAACCACATCGCATCGGGACGTGCGCCGCATGGGGCCCGCGTCGGCCTGGGCTCGGAAAAACAGAGCCGGGGCGGCAACGCCAGGGCATGCGCCACACACACACACATGCAGCGCGCTAGTTCTGTGACTCAGGACGTGGTTCCCGCAAGTTCGGGGCCCGTTCCCCGGGGTCACGCTTGCTGTGCGCGGCCTTTTGAAGGCCGCGGGGGGACCAAGCATACGCGCACAAGACGCTATTAACCATCGCGCCGCACTCTGCGATCGTTGGGCACCCACCAAAGGTCTCTCCGGCCAAGGGTCACTCCTCTATGTGGCGGCGCGCACAAGGGGGTATAGGGGGAGGGGGGAAGGGTTTCTAGAAGCATCTTGCTTCTAAGAAGCCTCCCACCCCTCCCCCCACTCTGCGCGTGGCCGACTTCTGTGTGTACGCGATCCTCGGAACATCATCACAGCGGACCACACCCGGGCGGTGACGACAACCTCTGCCGGGACGACCGGCGGGCGGCAGCCCGCCTGGAACGGCCTCGAAGAGGTCGCAGCTCGAACTTCCGGCCCCGCCCTCGCACGGCACCCCTCGGGCCAGCTCGACCCCTGGCGGCCCTATGTGGCCGCTCTGGTTTCTTTCCCGGGTGACCGTCGCTGCCGGGAAACAAGAGGGTTCGGGCGGGAGGGCAGCGGCAACGGCGACCGCGGCGTGCTCCTGCCAGGGCGCCTTCGCTGCCACCGTCGCAGCAATCGCCCGCGTGCGCCACAGCATGACAAGGAGGGGGTGTCCAGGCCCCCCCCAACAGTGCGATCGTTAGCGTTACTTGGCGGCGCGCACAAGGGGCTGGAGGGAGGGGGAGGGCTTCTTAGAAGGAGGCTGTTTCTTAGAAGGCGCCGGCCTTACATCTATAGAGAAGGCCCGTGGCTTCTAAGAAGCAGGGGTGCTTCTAAGAAGCAGGGGTGCTTCTAAGAAGCCCTCCTCCCCTCCCCCCACCCACCTCTGCGCGTGGCTGAGTTACCTGGGGGGGGGGGATTCGGCCGGGCAGCGAGCGTGACCCTGGGACGAACATCGCTCACCCTGGCGGGCCCGCGGCGGGCCCAACACCCCCGCCCCAGACCACTGGCGCTCCAAGTGTCTTGCTGCGTGGACCACTCTGGAGGCCTGGACCACCCTCCTGTGGCATCTTTTTGTGCCCGGAACATTACTTGGTGACGGTCCCGGGGCCCGTCGGGGACCCCAGGAAGCCGAAAATGGCCAACATCTGGCCACTCCTGGCGAAGCAAGGCGAGGCGGGGCGCGCCGTGTCCGGCCACGGAGGCCGACCCGCACGGGGCAAGGCGCGTGGGCCGCAGCCCTCAGATGTCGCTCCCCTGCGCGAGATCAAGCCGAAATGCTTTCCCAACCTCCTGCGGATTTGCACCATGCTCCTTGCATCTTTTTCGAGTCAAAGCACATCTGGATATCATCTGACCCAAGGCATCCAGGTCTTCCTTGTGATCTCAGTACGCCCAGCGGCTACCATCCTGCAGTATGCCTTGACTGCAGAAGGCACCGAGGCCGCTACTCCCCAGACCTCTCCCGGGGGTGCGTTCTGACCAACGATTCCAGGGCGACTGCTGCGGTGGCGACGAGGGCCTCCCGGGGTGGCCCAAGGAAGGGAAGACGAGGGAAGGGTCGCGGTATGGGGTACCTCCCCACCTCTGAGCTCCATCGCCTGGTTCGGGGCATCGCCGAGGCTACGAATTGAACAACTCCGCTGCGACTTCTCCTGGCGCGACTCCGTGGGGGCAGAGGCGGAGGCGCAGAAGGCAGGGCCGAGCTACCGGCTACCGGCTCCGGAGGTGGACGGCAAGGGTTGTCGGCGTCACCATATGATACCGCGCCCGCCCAAGTCACCGACTCGCACTGACAGAGGCCTCCTGGTTGGGGTCGGAGTGTCTAGATGGGGTCGGAGGATCTCGCCGCACCGCCGATGCATCGGCAACGCATCGCCGATGCATCGGCCATGCATCGCCGACGCGTCGGCGATGCATCGGCGACGTCGGCGTGGAGAAAAGCGGGCCCCGCATCGTGCCGCATCGCCGACATATCGCCGATGCATCGGCGACGCGGCACGATCCTCCGACCCCATCTACTCCGAACCCATCTGGGAGGCCTAGAGACTCGCACTGAAGTGCCCGCGGGGAAGCGCCCTGCGGTTAGCGCCACCGCGGCCGCGTCGGTCGCGTCAAACTGGCTGGACGCTGTGCGCGCGAGCGTGCGGGCGAGCGCGGCCGCAGAGATGCACCAGCCAACGGAGGGCGACCTCTCCGAGAGCCGCTTCGATCCGATTGACCCCACCGGGGAGCTGCTGCGCATGTCCTGCATCCCATGCACTATGTACCCAGACCCCCTCGGGTCATGGAGAAATCGCGACGTGAGGCTCGTCAGGCCCTCCACGTGGCCCCTAAGACGCCCCGACAGGCCCACGAGAGGCTCTCAAGAGACATCTAGAGAGACTCCGAGAAGCATCCAGGGAGGCCTGTGGCCCTTCTGTTCGCCCTCCACCTCTTCCTTTTCCTCATCCGCCTAGTCATCCTCCTTCCTCATCCCTTCTCCCTCTTCCATCCTCCCCCTCCCCCTTCCTCTCCTTTCCTCCTCCTCCTCCTTCTTCTCCTCCTCCTCCTCCTCCTCCTTTTCCTTCTCTAGTTCCTCCGCCATACTCCCCCTCTTGGGTATGACGGCTTCCCAACCTTTATTCCACTGAGTGCTTCCCCATATGCCAGGTCAGGGCAACTCGCCTGGGCATCGCTTATGGATGGGCTGGTGGGGTTACGGGAAGCGTATGCACTGCCTTTGCCAGCCTATTTTTCTTCGACGTCCTCAAGCACCCCTCTTGGCAGACCCCGACTTGAGCCTCTTAAGGCCGAGACCGGGGGGAGAACGTCGGCACCGTAATCGCACCTACAAACTACGAGCGGCTGGAGGTCTGTGAGAGAACCCGCACCCCCCCCGTGTCTCAGGGCCCCCTGATGAACCAGGACATTCCTAACCAGAACTTTGAACAGTTTACCTGCACTTTACCTGGGGTTAGGTCGGGCATGTCCTCCTACAGGAGGCCTTTGGACGACACATAAAAAAGAGTCAACGATTACCAACACATAATCCAAAAATAACTAAATCGTCTCCATACTGTTTTGTGACCATTCCCAAATGTTCCTCCCGTAGCGGGATGCGCCCGACTCACACCTGGGGCGAGCGATGAGTGGAGAGAGCTTCGACTCACGGCGGCAGGTCCTGGCCGATCAAGATCGATGCCCGCGGTCACTGGGCCCCGGCCGTGCACCGAGCGCCCGTTTCTCAGAGGGGGCGCAGGCTCATAGCGATCGGGGCCCCCGCGAGGGCGCGCGCGCGCGGTGGCCCCCCGTCCCTCGCTGATGGGCGGCGTGGCGCCGAGGAGGGGGTGGGGCACCAAGGCTGCAGCACTCGAGCTTGGGGGGGGGGCTCAGGTTGGCTTGACGGGGCCGCCCGGAAAACGATGAGGTCCAGGCCGGGTGCTGGTGCGCGCCGCCGAAAAAAAACGAGCCTGCCGATCTCGTGGCCCCCTCAAAACAAGAGAGCGGCGCGCAGGCGCCGCACCGTGCCTGGGCACCCAGGGCCGAACCGGGACGGTGCTGCTCGTTCTCGGGCTGTTCTTCGCGCGTCCTCGCTGTGCCTGCGCTCCGCCCGGAATGCAGAACAGGGCGAAGAGCAGCACGGTCGACGAGGGGGATGGCCAACACACCCGCTCGGTGCAGCCCCGTGGGCACCCTCGCAGGCCCCACCGCCAGCGCGGCATGGAGCACACGGGCGCTCGGCCCCGGAGGCCGCGGAGCGGCGTGTGTGCACCGTGCCGCTCCTGGGCCGGGGACCGCGACGCAGCCTCGGGAGACGCCACGGTGCGGTGAATGCGCGTCCCCAGACAGCTGCTCCAATGTTTCCATGCGTGGGTCCCGGTCGAGCAAGGACCGACCGTCCCAGCATCCCTACAGGCCTACCTTTACATGTTCTCAGAACCCAGAGATGTTCGAATCACAAGAACCATGTTTCTAGAACGTGAGCCCGATGTGTTAAAACAAAACAGTCTCAGTCGGAAATGTTCTAAGAACATGTTGTGGAAACCACAAAAGGTTCTTAGAACATTGCTTGGTAGGACTATACGCACGCTAGGACGCTTCGCCACTGCTTGAAAAACGGCCCCAAACCGCCCGCTCCATCGTTTCGCTTGGAGCGTCGGCTCTCTGGGTCGCCCGCGGACCTGCGCTTTTCGCGTCGAGCGACGGGGGAAGTGAGAAGACGAAGGCCTTCTCAGAAGGCTCGGGAGCCCCCTGGCCTTCGGAACAGCTTTCTGAGCAGGGACCGACCGTCCAGTCATTCCTACAGGCCTACCACGACATGTTCTTAGAACCCAAACATGTTCGAA